GTCCCAGCATCCACATGTGGCAGCTCACAGCACTTGTAACTCTAGCTCCAAAGGATCTGATGACCTTTTCTGGCCTCGGCAGGCACTGCACTTATATGCACATACCGAGTCAGACACTTGGGAATTAGAGGCTTGCTTTTGTGACCCCCATCACTCTGCCCAACCAACAGCATCCAAATCTCACTGTAGTTTTGAAGTCATGTAAGTAAACCCGCCCCCCATCTCCATTCTTTTCATTCACGGTCTTTTTTTCCTCTGTACCCTGGAAAGGGAACTGGGGTTGGAGGGTAGGATTTAAAGGTTATGAAAGTGGGATGTGGAATTCACAAGAATTATCATGGGATTATCTCCATTCACCAAGCAAACAGCTCAGGGGTGCATCATTCACCCTGTATTTTCTATGAATGGCACTTCTTCCATTTAAATATAACATAAATAGTGTCCTGGAAGCTGACCATCCAGTTGGTAGGGATGAGGAAATTATTACTTTTTGTGGAGATAAGGTCTCAATGTATAGCTCAGGGTGGCTTCCGAATTGGAATCTTCCTGCCTCTGACTCCTAAATGCTGGGAGTATAGGCATGTGCCACCTCAGTTCACTCTGGGAAACTGAAATAGAAAGGAAGCCAGGTGTGGTCACACACACCTTAAATCCCGGCACTCAAAGGGCAGAGGTAGGTGGATCTCTTTGAGCTCCAGGCCAGCCAGGGTTACTTGGGGAGACCTTGTCTCAAAACAAACAAAACTTTTTGGTTTCCATTTATTTTTTCTTTTCCTGTTCTGGGATTAGAATCTAGAACTTGCAGCTAGTGTGGTAGCACACACCTACAATTCCAGCACCAGGGAATGGGGATATAGGAGGATTAGTAGTTCAAGGCCTGCCTCAACTACATAGGTCAGGGCTAGCCTGGGCTAAATGAGACTTTTTTAAAAAATGAATTTAAAGTCTACTAGGCAGTCACTGTACTAATGAACTACATTTCTTGCTTCCTAGGTTCCTGTTCTATACAAGACATTAAAATGTGGGAAATTCCACATTAAATATATAATTCATAAATAATATAGTTGAGTTGCTCTTAATAATTGAAATATTACTATATTTATATACATTTAATAAAAAATTATTGTTTAGTACCTGCAGTGGTCCATGCCTATAATTCTAGCACTTGGGAGGTGGAGACAGGAGGATCATGAGTTGAAGGCAAGCCTGGGCTACACAAGACCCTGTCTCAAAAAACAAAGACAGGGGGCTGGAGAGATAGCTCAGAGGTTATGAGGACTCACAGTTGATTCCCAGCACGCACATGGAAAGTTAGAAATGGAGATTAAAAAAAAAAACAAAGACAGGGACAGCAAGATGGTTGAGTGGGTGAGGCTCCTGCCACCAAACCTCATGGCTTGAGTTCCATCCCTAGAGTCTACTCGGTGGAAGGTGAGAATCAACTCCCACAAGTCGTCCTCTGGCCTCTACACAGGTACCCTCACCACACACACAGAATGTGGTGGAATGTTAGCTTAAGATGTATTACATTAGTGTATGCTGTGGAATATCTGTTTAATGATACAAAGATGTGTTGCGTTCTTTCATGTTGCATGTATTTAAAGTTGTGTTACTTTGCCTGTCTTATTGGTCTAATACAGCTGAATGGCCAATAGCTAGGCCGAGAAAGGACAGGCGGGGCTGGCAGGCAGAGAGAATAAATAGGAGGAGAAATCTAGGGAAGAGGGAGGAGCAAGAAAGGAGAAGGCGAGGAGGATGCCAAGGGGCCGGCTACCCAGCCACACAGCCAGCCACAGAGAGAAGGAAAGCAAGATATATAGAATAAAGAAAGAAAAAGCCCAGAGGCAAAACATAGTTAACAGAGAAATGGGATAAATTAAGTTAGAAAAGCTGGCTAGAAATAAGCCAAGCTAAAGCTGGGCATTCATGAGTAAGAATAAGTCTCCGTGTATTTATTTGGGAGCTGGGTGGCAGGGCCCCAAAGTGGGGGGAAAAACTACAACAGAATAAATAAATAGTTGTAAAAAAATTAATGAGAAAAAACAAATAAAATTTATGTTCATATTTTGGAGCTCAGTGAACATTTTTGCAGCACCCTAAACACCTATGCCTATGTGCTTGGTGGAAAAAAATAATTCCAGTGGAGACTTCTGATCTTTATCCAGCTGGAGGGCCATTGTTTGGGCTGAGCACCGCATAAGGCTCTGGGAAACCGGAGCAAGGCAACATGGAGAATTTAGAGACGCAGATAGACCCCACGGTGGACCAGCTGCTACTAAAACAGAGGGTCCTGATCTTGAGTCATCGTACTAAAGAATTCTCTGTCTGCTTTGAGCCTTACAAAAAGGAAGCAGAAGTGGGCTGGGAGTGTAGGTGAGTCCCAGTGCTCTTGCTTAGTGTGCCCAAGGCCCTGGGTTCAACCCTAGGACTAGGACTAAGGAGAAATGATTCGATCCTTATTTTCTCTTGTTGGGTTTCCTGGTGCCCACTTTACGGTCAGCATTTTCCCCTTTGTTCTATTCCTCCGTTTCCACTTTACAAGACCTACTGTGTTCTGCTACTACTGGTGTGAGTCTGCATTCTAGTTATGGAATGGGGGCTGTCTGTTTATGAATCACGAAGGAAAGCAAGTCAGATCTATGAGTGACTTTGTTGTTATTTTGTCTGGGAGGTGCACATGCTATGGTATGTTGAGGCCAGAGGACAATGTGTGGGACTTCCTTCCTTCTACCAGGTGGGTGCCAGGGATCAAACTCAGCTGGTCAGTCTTGGCAGCAGGTCCCTTTACCCACTGAGACATGTCTCCCTGGGATTTTTTTTTTTTTTTGTCTGTTGGCAGGGTGTTGTCCCTTGGAACATTTTCCCTGGTAAGACTTACTGTTGCCCCCTTTCTCAGGTTTTCACCCTGGAGTCCTCT